ATAGCCATTACGCTAACTGCTGGTTCCCTTTCTTTCAAATTTTTGAAGTTCAGCCTGAATGTTCAGGAGCAAGCAGACAGGGGTGATCTAGAATCTCTTTGTCGTTCTGTTGTGATCGCTGGTGCAGCAGATCCAGTAGATATTGGGGAATATATTAACCCTATTAGTATTTGGATGTTTAGCTGCAGTGCTCTTAGATCCATCTAAAAACACATCGAATGGATATTGGAGGGTGGAGAGACAAGAAAAAGGAAAATGAAAAAGAGAGAGAGAAACAACAACAAAAAAAGAAAAAAGACAAAAAAGAAAAAATTGTAATTACTCTTCTTTTAAAAAAAAAAATCACAAAATAGAAAATCTAGTTCACTGGAGCCATGTGGAACCTCCTTCTGAAGGCCAGGCTTCTTCTGCCTGGGTGGGAGGACCAGAGTGATAATTAACAAGATAAAAGGTGAAGCTGAGAGCCAGAGAAAAACTGTGCCTTTTAAAAAAATATAAAAAGGAAAAATTACAGAAATAAAAAGGGGAAGACAGAAGCAGGAAGAGACAGGAACCGAGACACAGAGACAGAGATAGAAGCCCGGGGATGCGGGGGGAGGGGGCTCCCTACCGCTAGCTCGTTTGCTGGAGTCTGAATTATCGGTAGAAAATCTTCATTCCCTGAAAAATCTAGTTCGCTGGAGCCATGTGGAACCTTCTTCTGAAGGCCTGGCTTCTTCTCCATAATTAATTTTTTTAAAAAAATAGGTTATCTTATCAGTTATTCCTGTGCATGTCCTTGATTGAGAAGCACAGTTTTGAGAAGAGAATAATTGAAATGTTGGACATTTTGTTATTAAGCCACCAATCGATTAATCGATGATGGCTACTTCCCTTTTACTCAGAAGCTGCTTGGGCTGTTGTAGAAAATATGCAAAGATTGACGCCGTTCCCTGCCTTCCAGGAGCTTGATCTAACTCCAGGTGCAAGTCCAGCCTTGCATTCTACTCTCTGTCTCTATGAATTTGCCTGTTCTAGGACTTTCTATCAGTGGAATTATAGAGGATTTCTTCTTTAATGTCTGGCTTCTTTCACTTAGCAATGGGAGGTTTTTGTTCATTTTTAGCTTTTGCTATAGGTCACGTGCACTCACTAGGGAAA